ATGTCTGTGGATCTGGCCAGTATTTTGGCCTGTCATGATTGACAGCCTTAACTAATTTTTATCTTACACAGCTAATGTGATTTCATCATTAGAGTCACAAATACAACAGGGAAACCATGATGATTCAATTACTTTTCAGCTGATGATTTTTGCCATTTAGCTGGAGATTCAAGTTAAATCAGCCTCTCAAATGGTCCACTTAGTGCTACAGAAATCAGCCCTTAAAGAATGATTTTCATCATACAATGGAATTTTTCTATTACCACAGATATCTCAGAGTTGTTCCTTTTTTTTTTTTTTTACCTGAAACATAAAATACCAGATTTTTTTTTTCACAAGAAAAGATGAGGCTAAAGAAAAATTAGTTTTATAGCAGAAAACTACAACGAAGGTGACATCTGGCGAGTGTGATACTTTGTTATCCTGTTAGGTTATCTCTCCTAGGCAGGATATTATTTTCAATTATATTTAAACTGAGCAATGGTCAATTATATCACATCAACTGTAGCTGTAGCAACTAGGAAAAAGTACAGATATTCATACTCTTAAATAATTATGACGAGTAATCTTAAGAACAGTGTGAAAAATAGGGTTTAATTGATTAAGAGTCATTCATAGGCCAAATTACAAGGGGATGCAAAATCTACATTTAAGAAATAAGACAAAATTCAATTGGAGAAGCTTTGATTTAGGCAAACGCCAGCTACTAAAATGAGGAAAGCAAGTATAGAAAATAAGTAAAAAGAGGAGAATGAAGAAAAGGGGGTAGAAGTTAAATGAGAGAAAGTTAGGGGCGCCTGGGTGGCTCAGTCAGTTAAGCCGCCGACTTCGGCTCAGGTCACGATCTCGTGGTCCGTGAGTTCGAGCCCCGCGTCGGGCTCTGGGCTGATGGCTCAGAGCCTGGAGCCTACTTCTGATTCTACGTCTCCCTCTCTCTGCCCCTTCCCCACTCATGCTCTGTCTCTCAAAAATGAATAAATGTTAAAAATTTTTTTTTTAAAAAAATTTAAAAAAATGAGAGAAAGTTAATGAATAAAGTTAAATGTGATAAAGCCTTGCCTTTGGAATAATACAGGAATTACTCCCTATAGCGTAGTGTGAGTTTCTATATTTATTAAAGGGGCTGCACCACTAAAGGTGATACTTGTCTTCTGTAAATCTTTAATGATGTAGAGTCCACTGTGAGACTAACTGGTTTGTAATAAAGTATATGATGAAATGAAAATGATACCAGTAAGTGCAAAGATATGGAAAAAAGTATTTGTGATGTTCCATCTAGACATATCCTTCTAAATTATTCTGATTGAAAAGTTATTACTAACAAATACTATAAAAACAGCTCATAAACAAGATATAGAATGCTTTATAATTATGTAGGGTGCTAAGTCATAAATAATAAATTATAGTTTTAGTGAAATTAAATGGAGAAAGGTTTGTTTCATAAAGTGCCATTGATATATCGATATTAGCATTATTGTATCAAAAAAGAACATTCTAGAAAAGAATATTCAAAGAAAACAGGTTCTAGAATGGAAGTTCAATCAGATAGAAGGATGTTTTACATTAATGAGGAAAGTTTATTTTTAATATCCTAAGGAGATTTAAAAAATTGAGGATTTCCGCTCTATTATGTAAAGAAGTAGTTGGGAAGCCTGGGTAATCAGTCAGTTAAGTATCCAACCCTTCATTTAGGATCTGGTCATGCTCTGATGGTTCATGAGATTGAGGTCTGCATCAGGCTCTGTGCTGACATCGTGGAACATGCTTGGGATTCTCTCTCCCACTCTCTGCCTCTCTCCAGCATGCCTGCTCTCTCTCTCTTTCTCTAAATAAATAAAAATAAATAATAAATAAATAAATAAAACTAATATAAAAATAAGTTAAAATAAATACAACTAATATAAAAATACATTAAAAAGAAGTAGCAATATAATAATAAAATTGCAACATGTAGCAAGAACTCAAATACTGACTATTTTCAAACACCCTGTCATTCCATCTTTATATAAACCATGTGTGTTTGCTACTAATACTCAGGCTATTTTACATTTGAGTAATCTAAAGTATAGTGAGACCATAAGACTTGAAAATAGCCCCAGGGGTCCCAAGTGACAGAGCTTGACTTTGGGTCCCAAGTTCTTAACCTCTCTGTGCTCTTCATTTGCTTGTGACCCATTATCTTAACTATCCTTCATAAAATTATTAATTTTGGTGACTAAAACAATAAATTTCAGCTTGATTTTTTTAAACCAAGCTTAGGTAAGGTAAGTAAGTATAAATGATGCCTAAATTAATCTGGATGAAAAATCCAAATTCTTATTATATATTCAAAATATAATATTGAAGTAGTGACTATGACATGTATACCTCATGGATGTGCATAACATTTACAGTATTTAAAGACCTTACAATATAATTTCAATTGGAAACCCACAGAATTGACATTATTTAATGCCCCGTCAGAATGTATGCCTACCAATGACAAAGTTTTTCAGAAATATTTCGTATATGTAATACAGTATGTTTCATAAATTCTTACCAAGTATTTCACTTATTCTGCTACTTTGGCTTTTAGAAAATAGTGCTTATTTAGCTTCCCATTCTAAATAAGGTGGGGGAAGTGTATCGGCATAAACAAAGGAGGATAAAACACTTTAATCAGTCATTCTTTTATTCTTTTTATAGTTAGTTAAATCAAGTCACTGGAAACTATAGACACTTTTATTTTTTTTTCTTACCTTGTTACCTTAAAAGTATGACCCAACACTTGATTGTATATCTAAAACTTAGATCCAAATCTGTCAGAGTCAAATCTAGGTTTGTAGTTTTTATTTTTAATTGTGAGATGAATTTACCCTTTGCAATGCTGAAAACCTAGATATTAATTAGATCTTTGTTTTAGAATTAACATTTCTTGCCACAGCCTGTTTAGCTTTCCAACCCTACTTCTAGTCCCCAGCCCTCACCTCATACAGACTCTTAAACTGCTTCTTTTGTCTTGAACCCTTTAGTTGACTGCTCTTACTTTATTCTCACTGAACAATGTACATAGTTAGCAGTTAGGTGAATCCATCACTGGGAAAACATCTGAGTCACTATTTATTATTACATAAACTCACAATGCAGGGTTCTTATTCCTCACACTACATATATGATCATAGTATGGGTCTGGGAGGGGAAAATAGTTTCTCCATCTGAAACCAGTAAAATTTTCTCATTCTTCCATTGATTTGCAAAATACTTTCGAATACCTATTCTGTGCAAAGTACAAAGTTAACAACTTAGGGGTATAAACATACATTTCAAAAAACCCCCTTTCTCAAGGAGCTTATTGGGCATTGGAGGAAAATATACACATAATTAGAAGACATTCGGAATGAAATTAAGGCATGCAAGATCCCATTGGAGCACTAAGCAAGAGCAAGTCAATTCTGATTGGTTATCACTCAGGAAGTGATATTTAAATTGTCCTTTGGTGAAAAACAAAGTAGTGATAGGTAGTAAAAAGAATACCTAGGGAAGAGAAAAATTATTAAAGGGTAGGTGGGTAATACACAAAATGGCACAGAAGTGAAAAATAGCTTTCTGTGTATATTGAACAGCAAGTAATCTCATGTGTCTGTAATCCATAACGACTTAAGCAATGAACCGAGACATGTGTCTCAAAAAATAAAATGGTACAAAATCATAGAGGTTCTTGAACTGTGAAATAAAAATTTTGGAATGCACCATTTAAATAATGGGGGCCATTTGTATTTATTTAGTAGAGAAATGGCATGATACCCTCTTCTCTTATTCTGTATAGTTCACACCTGTTGTTTTCTTTGTTTATAGCACTTTTCTTCAGAGCACTTATAACCTCCATACTTTTATTTGGCAAAGTCCACAAATTAGCTTGTTTCACCCCTTCTGTTAAGCTTTGTGAAACTACTTTTCTTCTGATACTTTATATACTTCCCCCATTTTCCTTCCTTGTGCTCAATCTATACATCTTTTTATGATCCTTATAATTATCTCTTCTCTTTCTCCATCACTTGACTTGAATTCAGGGAGAATTTATCATTGGTCTTTGTATCCTCAGTGCCCTTTTAGCATGTTGCCCTCTAGGTGGTTAATACATTTCAGTTGAATGAATGCTCAAAAATATATCTTGGTAAGAAAAAATTGACATCAGTGAGGAAAGCACACTGAATAGCCAACAGAGTAAAATAAGAGATAATAACTCAATGGTCACTGTATTGGGAGATTATAAGAAAATAAAAGAAGAAAGTGAAGAGAGAAAGGAAAGGAGGAAACAAACAAACAAAAAAATACAGCTGTTTAGATGGGACAGAGGCATGGGACTGAGTTGAAAACGACACCAAATAACTTGGAGAAAGCTTGTACATTATCACGCATGGGGTTGATTTTGCTAAAGGAAGATAGGAATTTCTTTTTTTTTAAATTTAAGTTTATTTATTTATTTTGAGAGAGAGAGAGAGCACAAGCAGGAGAGGGGCAGAGAGAAGGAGAGAGAGAATCTCAAGCAGGCTCCACACTGTCAGTGCAGAACCCGATGTGGGGCTTGAACCCATGAACAGCGAGATCATGACCTGAGCCAAACCAAGAGTCAGAGGCTAACCAACTGAGCCACCCAGGAGCTTCTTTTTGATGGGTTTTATTTGATATATCTATTGGAGCATCCAGTTTTTTTGGGGGGGATGTCTGGAAAACATAATAATCCCACCTCAAAACATAAATATGGGCTACTCTATCTTTTGTGTAAAAGCCTAAAAGTTATCCCTAAGCAAGTTTGGGCTACTATGGAGCCATAACAGTGAGAAAAAAAAGCAAAAATCAACAGAGAGATAAATGTACATCTCATCCTGTTCTTTAGAAGCAATATCTAACATTTTCCCCTAATCTTAAGATTTGGGTGTTCAAAAGTTTAAGTTCTATTTGAATCTTACTCAACTGATTCAAAATTAATTATATGTTATTTCTCTCTTGCTTTTCTGCAGTATGCTGTCTGGCTAGTCCTCTGGGTTACCTGGAATGTGTTTGTTATCTGCTTCTATTTGGAGGCTGGGGACCTCTCAAAGGTAATTTGCCATCTGATTTGCTGAGTCATCAGTAGTGTGTTAACAAGCCTCTTCCTAAGTAAGTCAGTCTCCCCCTGCTCTTGTTGCTTAGATGCACCTCGAATGAAGGTAAATTGAAAGATGTCCTCATCTATATCTCTGCTTTTCTACCATGAAAGATATGTTTCAGCTTGTCACAAAGTGTGCTTTTATTATTTTAAGCAAAAGCAGTGTGAAATAATGATTATTACAGTGGCTATACTGTGTCTTTTAAAACATTGACTTAGGAGAAATTTCTGAAGCAGAATAGGAATTTTTTCAGAGATAAAATCCTAAAAATTTTTGGAATCACCTCATTGCTTATTACTTTGCTAAAAGTTTTCTTGCTTGGACCCAAATAGCAATGCAATAATTCAAATAATTAATGGATTAATGGACTATAGTTTAATAAAATTGTTACCAGAGAGATTTAATAAATTATATAAATGAATAAAATGTTCCAATATAATATAGGAGAGCCTTAAAATACTTGCTTTTCCACTTAGGTTTTTTTTTTTTTTTTATGCTGTCCTCATGTGAGTGTGTTTATGTTTGCTTGTATATGCGAATTACCATCGTATTTCTAACATGAATGCTTTTACTGTTGAAATACTGTAGTTTTTAGATCTCTAAAACCAGCATCTTTCTTCTATTGGAATGCAATTACTAGCAAATAAGCAAAATGAGATGATTCATTCAAAGTCATAGTAAATTCATTCAAGTAGTAGTAAATCTTGCGTAGACACTTGACAGAGTTGCAAACTTGTCCTTCTTCATATTAACTTTTAAAGACAGACTGTTCTATAGCCTTTCCTTATTAGAGCATAAAAACCCTGAAAAGATGTTGACATTTTTAAAACCCAGAGATGATGACTTGCTTTAAAAGGTTAAAGAGCTAAAAAGTGGCCAGGAAACACCCTTGCGGGGCTTTTATATCTCGGAGGGTAGGGAATGGGGATAGTGATAGTACACATTTATAATCTAGCTTACAGAAACTTCAAAAAGCACTCTGAGCATTTTCAAGGATGTTTGTTATTTCCCTGTGATATGGCTTTATATCAAGTATAAATAATCTTGCTTATTTTGTTGAATGGCAAATGATGAAGGATAAAATAAGAGGGTGACATTATGGCATGAGATAGAACCAAGGCTTCTGGAACCTGTGGTTTTATGATCAGATTTTGGACAAGTCCTCACTGAGGTCTGCGAAATCTGCACTGGTAGAGGGCATTTCTGTGACTCTTGAGCCAGACATTGTCCTCCATACTCTTGGCAGCAGCCGGTCCTTTCCAGAAAGCTGCTGTGACCAATGAAAAGAAATTGTTCAGGTGACTGTAGGAAGGACACAGACAAGATAGCTGCTTAAAACTCACATTTCCTCTGTACCAGAGAACCATACCTGCTTCCTAAGACCTGAATCACTTACCCAATTTATATATCCCCACTGCTGTATAGTGCACTTTGTTCAAAGAAATTCCATACTAGAATGACTTCTCAATAATAATTTTAATTTTGAATAATCACCCTAAAAATAAACTGGTAGGCAGGTATTTAGGTATATTAGCTGAGTAAAATGATCTGGCAGATCAGAGTTTACATATATATATTTGAGCCAAGCTGGCTGTACAAATGTTCTGTAATTTTGCTCACTGCTCCACATGATAACTGCAGGCACAGAATAAAGCTTGTGATCTCCTGACCTTGGACATGGGCATTGAAACCACAGCAAGGGCACATCCTAAAACATTGCAACTCAAGACTAAGAATTCTTCTAATGCATACGGTCAGGTCGTGTCTATCCCTTGGAAATGAAGTAGTTAATATTTCCTTTTCTTTTCATCTTATAAACCAAGGCAAGACTCTGCAGGGCCCATGAAAATTTAATAATTTCCTTTTAACAAATAATCTAAAGGAAAACCATAAAGGAAAGAGTTATATAGTTATCTGTACCAGATTTTTCCCTCCCTTCCCCACTCAAAGGATTTGAGAAAGGTGTGTTTATACCATTTAATTCTTTAGCTTCTGCAACTGCCTCACATTCTTCAAGTAATACAGTGCCAGAATGAAGCAATGTGATTGAAAAATGTACAGATATATGAAAACTCAAAAATGGGACTCCTGAAACTGTTGATAATACTTAGATTATAAAATATAAACTGTTTTTTCCTAACTCTACCAAAAATATAAAAATAAAAATAGTTTGGCCATATGAATGGGCCAGTTTGTTTGAGGCTGAGGGAGAAATATGGGAAATGGAATCAGGGAGAAAATTCTGTAGTCTTTTTATATGTGAAAGAAGTGTATTAATTTCCATAAAACATTTTGTAAAGAGATGACATCTTCAGAACAAATATTGGCAAGAAGTGATAAAAAAAAGTGGTAAAATATTAAGGCAACTTTAATTACTTGTTAGAGTTTAGAGTTTTGTGTTGTCATTTCCCACAGTGTCTTTTCTGCTAAACTACATGTACTTTATAAGCAATACAGAGATTAGAGTCATTAACCAACCCAGTGTATATACTAAACAAGAAATGGCTTATTTGCAATAATATGATACACAGGACTGACCTGTTTGATCTTCAGTTTCTCTAGTACCTATAGTTGCATAGGTAAAATATTTTGTTCATCAAAAATTCTGTGTAGGTGCACCTGGGTGTCTCAGTCAGTTAAGCGTCCAAATTCGGCACAGGTCATGATCTCACAGTTCTTGAGTTTGAGCCCCGAGTCAGGCTCTGTGCTGACAGCTCAGAGCCTGGAGCCTGCTTCAGATTCTGTGTCTCCCTCTGTCTCTGCGCTGTCTGTCTCTGTCTCTTAAAAATAAATATTAAAAAAATTCTGTGTAAACCCAACATTATTAATAATCTATCAATTAATATATTTTGATTACTATTATGAGACTTAGAGAAAATAAAACTAATCAAGCAGAGAAACTGCTTTTTAAAAATTTTATCTGTGAAATTAACAAAATAATGGGAATTAATGTAAAATAGTACATGACATAACACCAAATAAGCATGTATATTGCATAATAATTATTTCCATGTTATTTACATTAATGATTTAGACACTAGTGTTAAAACTAAATAGCCTAATGCAACCTACATTGTGGTACTTCCTGGGTTGATATTTTAAGAGATGTTTTATTAAAACACATAGATGACATTATGAAATAAGTTTTAAATAGTAATACATAGAGAAAATAGATAGTGGTCTTCTGGTTATCTGTAAAAATCTGTGTTTTGGGTTTTTTTTGGATGTGATACAATTATAAATTATTTCTGAGGCTGAAATTACGTTCTAACATTTTTGTTTATATGACTATTGAGCTCTTAGTTTCTACTTTTTATAATTTATGGGGCAATATTGGGGAATGATACACCTGTCTTTAGAAGTAAATTTACAGGGGCACCTGGGTGGCTCAGTCAGTTGGGTGTCTGACTTCAGCTCAGGTCATGATCTCACAGTCTGTGAGTTTGAGCCCCGCATTGGGGTCTGTGCTCACAGCTCAGAGCCTGGAGCCTGCTTCAGATTCTGTGTCTCCCTCTCTCTCTGCCCCTCCCCTGCTCATGCTCTGTCTCTCTCGGTCTCAAAAATAAATAAAAACATTAAAAAATTTTTAAAAAAAGAAAGAAATGTACAGAGCATAAAGGAATAAGTTTATTTTACTTAACACAACCCAACTTGTTTGTGTTTTATCCTTTGAGAATCAGGATGCAGGTACATATCTCTCAGGCTTCATTATATTATCAGAAACTTACCTAGTTAAACATAGCCTAAAGCAATTAATTATACCTAATGATACATCTGTTTCAGAATGAACACATTAGTAACTTCTAGAAAGGTGTCATATTTTAATAATTTTGATAGTTGCTTCTGAGATCTACATATAAATTTTCATTTTAATAATTTGATATATTAAAAAGCCATGTAAGCATATGGGCTATTTAAGCTTTGGAGAATAGAATTGCACTCTTGCAAATATAAGAGACAAGGAGAAGATAAACTGTCACGCACTGTAGGCAATAGGAAGCAAATCCTTAAAACCAGATGTAAGTATTGTGTGGAAAAAATGCAGTATTGCAACAATCCCACTTTTATTTCTTCTGTAAAAAAAACGTATTCATTTAAAGAGGTCTCTGATATTTGGATATTTTCTGCTCAATGAAATCAGTGCTTACATCAAAATTTGCTTTTACAATTTTGTACAGAAAAAGATGGTATGGAAAGGAATCTGCTATAATCATTTTTAATTTAATTAGTTCAATTTATTAGTTCAATCTGATAATTTATTCAAGACTAAATTTAACAAATATAAGGAGGAAAACTGAATCATTATTTTTTTTATTTTTCCTTTTCTTACTGTAAAATGTATATAGTCTAAGAAAACTTCAATTAACTATTACTAAACTAATTAGAAAAATGTTTACTTCCCAACCATCCAAGTAGATTTTGCTTTAGGATGTAGAATAAAATGTCCTACATGTTATTGAGAGTTGAATATAATGTAATTTTGCCCGTCAAATAGAAATAAACCAACCTATTGTAATTTGGTAAGTCACTGCCTCTCTTCTCTTGTTTTTCCTTAATAGTGTATTGAATTAAGCTGCTTATTTTCTTACTTCTTCAGTTCTCTTTGCTTACTTTTCCACTTATTTTTAATACCCCTAAAGTGAGGAGTAAGGTCCTTGAAACTTTTTACTTCTCTGTCTACTTTCTTTCACTTGAAAATGCCATCCACTGTTATAATTTAAATTATCATGTTTACACATATATCTACCAGATTTATATCTTCAATCCTGACTTTGTTGCTAAGTTAAAGTACCACATCTCCAACTTCCTGTTGGTATCATGTCAATTTCATTGTCATCTTAAATTTAAGATGTCCAAGAGTATTTTTCATTATCCCCGAAGAATCCAACTTTCTTAATTCACATCTTACTCAGAGAAGAAAATAAATGGCAAATTCTACTTTGAAAAATGTA